CTTCCCATGTTGTGTTTTTTTGTTCTGAGTCGGGGTCTTACTCTGTTATCCAGGCTACAGTGCAGTGGCACAATCAATTACCGCTCACCACAGCCTATACCTGCAGGGTTCAGGCAATCCTTCTGCCTCAGCCTCCTGAGTAGTCGGGATTATAGGTACACATCACCACACTTGACTAATTTTTTTTTTTTTTTTTTTTTTGGTAGAGATGAAGTCTCACTGTGTTGTCCAGGCTGGTCTCCAACTCCTGGGCTCAAGTAATCCTACCTCAGCCTCCCAAATTGCTGAAATTACAGGTGTGAGCCACCACTCCTGGCCTTCAAACCGTTGTTTTTATTCTTATTCACTGCCTTTTCATATTTTTGCCTATTTTAAGTAAGGTTTATTCTGCAGATAATAGAGAAGAAAAAGTATTAACATAAGGCTCTTACAGGTATGCCTTCACTGTTGTTTTGGTGATTCAAAACAAACAAAACAATTTTGCCGTTTACTTTCTGTTTTAAGTAGTGGGAATTGGTTGATGTCACATAGACTTTGTTTTCCTCACAGTTTTTTTTACTTTTGGTTGTATTTTTGATGTAAGCCTATTTTCCCCCGAATACTTACTATGAGATGGCTACTGTTCTAGATGCTTGGGGTGTCAGTGAATTAAATAGACAAAGGTTCCTTTCTGCATGGATGCTGGTGGGATGGGGACAAAAATAAATAATAGATGATAACTGTAATGGGAGAACTATATAGTATGTTATAAAATAATAAGTATGTGAAAAGGGAAGCAAGGAAGGAGTGGTAAGAATATATATGCATGGGGTGCAATTCTAAACAGTGTTGTAAAGATAAGTCACTTGCCAAGGTGACACTGAAACAGAGACTTGGGGGGTCCTTCTGGGTAAAAACATTGCAGGCAAGAGGGTGGTCACTACAAAAGCCCTAAGCTAAATATTCCTGAAAGTTGATGATACTTCCAGAATATATTTTGTGGCCTATTTTACTCATCATCGTTTTACTCCACAACATTAGCTTATTTGTAAGTAAAAGGATTTGTGTTTGTTAATAATTTTTAAACTACCATCTCCACTTATCAATAACTCAAATGCCTAGAAACTTCCCATACCCAGAACATACATGAGATTCAAGGCATGGGAGGAGAGAAAGAAAGAAATGGCCCTTGAGAAGCCAAAAATATGTACTCAGAGAGAAGAGGCTTCAGGCCCTCCTTCTGTTTTTTGTATAAAATTTGATAAAGCGCCAAGCTTTTAACAGACACAAAGTATGGGATGTGAAAGGAACTTTGGGAGGAAGTTAGAGCTTTGTTCATCAGACACACAGACAGCACTGAGAACTCGTAAACTGACACTTCCTAGGAGTTTACTAAGGAGTCAACAAAATGCATCAAAGCCCAAGGGAACTGCCACCCAGAAGCTATGCTCAGTTGAGGGGGCAAGTACCCCACCTTCCCTAAGGGCCCTGAGAACACCATCCAGGAGCATATGACAGACACTCAAAATGATAACCATACTCCTCCCTAACCAAAGTGTAATAACAGTGTGATCAGCTCAGAAGATTGAGAGGGAAAGATCTGGGGAGACTTTAAGTTTAATTCAAAACTTTTTAAAAGTTCTGTTGATTAAAGAAGTAAATTTTTTAATATCCAGAAAGCCTGAGTACCTAGGAAGCCTCATTCATAAGAAATCCGAATATGCATGATCTTTTGGCAACAATTAAGGTGATAATCAAAGTACTTTAATAAATTTGAGAATCTTCCACAAAGGGGTATGGGTGGCCTGGCTATTTATCTATCATTGCTCCTAAAATTGCTCATCATTGTACTATTTTATTACATTTGAGTGTGTTTTTTTATTGTGAGAAAGTAAGATATGTGAAAATCTGAAATCAGCTATATTAGATGATAAAATTCACAAATAGATTATAAAATTCTTTTAGATTATAAAAATATTTGAATAAAAAAGCATTAGTCAGTTTTACAAAAAGAGTCACCCCAGAATATGTTTCCACTTACCGGGTTCATTGTTTTCTCCATTTAGAAAATTTTTATTTACCCACAACTTTCCAGACAAAAATCTATTACATAAAGGAAATTGCACCAACATTGTATGTTTACCATAGCAACTCTAATGATTACTCAATGCAGGAAATGAGCCTCCAACTCCAGAAGATGCCCTAAGTTCAAGAATTAGAAATTCGTTTTAGGTATATCAAGATATGAGTGTAGGAGAAGGATTACATTTTAGCATACACAAAAATTAGTACTCGAAGTGCGTGGGTGCATTTTTTAAAAATTAGGCTCGCCATTATCAGATGTCCAAGCACACCTTTAGCCCTAGGTTTTGCCTCCTTCCCTACAACTTACATGTGACAAGAAAAGCAATTAGAAAACTCTGATCCCAACCACCCCAGCAGCAAAGCCATGATTCTTGCGAGGTGAGATGATCAAATGAACTGCTTCTAAAAAGTAAAGTTGGAAACACCAATGCTGAGTTTAAGCTAACAATTTTTTAGAGACTATCTGAGTAAGAAATATGTTTTTAATTAAAAATAAGCAATCTATTTGTTGTTCTGTTGTGTTAGGTGTTCGTAATTAATACCCTAGGTGGCTTCCTAGAAGAATTGACAGTGTAACTTATTTGTGCTCATTCCTTCAGGTTGACCGTAGAATCTTTTTCAACTCCAGTCTTCACCATTTAGCACAAATATGTCAAATCTGACTCCATACCCTCCTCAAAAACGTATACTTTCAATATTTTTTAGCTCAGATATAAAATTATATAGACCTCAAAGAATATCCAGAAAACCACTATCTTCGTGTCCCATTTCTCATACCAAATACAACAAACCAACCAACCAAAAAACCCAGAATAGAAAGTACATAAAAGGTTAAATAAATAACTACGATTAAAATTTTACAAGTATAAAATTAAGTTACAAAAATTAAGTTGTATTAGAGAAGTCAGGTATCATTTAATCCTAACTGACCTTTCTTATGTCAACAAAATGGAACTGTAGAGTCAGATGACAAAAATCTGTAAAATACATAATTAAATTGATAGATAAAAATCTAAAGGCAGCCCCTTTTAGAACAACTTACCATCCTAGTTTTCTATGATTATATATAAAATTGTGAAATGATATATCAGCCAGGCAATCTCACATCAAATCAAGTTGGCTCTGGAGGCCTATTCTAGATACTATGTAATTCTAAATGGACTGGAGATAGAAGTGGTTTAGTGTCACTGATAAGATTTTTTGCACTGTGTGACCATACTGGAAAAAACCACTGAATATGTTATTTTCAAGTTGCTATTTATTGTGACTCAATATTCCAGAAATTTGTGTGCTGTCATAGAGGTCATGATGACCCTCAATTTAGGAAATTACGATGTCAAAAATTGTGCTATTAAAGGAGCACAGTTTTCTTTTGATGTTTATCATTTCTGCTATGTTTTTATTGGGCGTTGTTAGACTTTTTAGTCATTCCATTAAGGTCTTAAAAGATATTGTGTGGGAATAGAGAAAAAGAAAGAAAGGCTAAGAAGTAGATTAAGTATGTGATGGGGGTGGAGAAGAATTTGTTTCAAATTAGAAAAGGGTAATTTTAGCCGGGTTCGGTGGCTCAGCCTGTAATCTCAGCACTTTGGGAGGCTGAGGTGAGTGGATTGCCTGAGCCCGCGGGTTCGAGACTCGCCTGAGCAACTTGGCGAGACCTCATCTCTACATAAACCAAAAATTAGCCGGGTGTGGTAGCACACGCCTGTAGTTCCAGCTACTTGGAAGGCTGAGGTGGAAGGATCGCCGGAGCCCAGCAAGTCGAGGCTGCAGTGGCCGGGAGCGGCCACTGCACTCCAGTCTGGGTGACAGAGTGAGACTCCAACTCAAAAAAAAAAAGAAAAGGGTAATTTTAGCCACGATGTCACAATGCAATCATAAATGAAAGCTAACTAACATACCAGATGAGATGTAAAGAGGGCAAATAATTATTTTTGTTTATGAAAGTTGCCTCAAGAAATTCTTACTATTTTATGTCAATCATATCTTCTGTAGAGGAACTTTGGAGTCCAACAGAGGGTTAATAAATATGTGTACCCAAGAAAATTAAGTAAGCTTGAAAAGTCTCCGTTTCCTCAACTGCTGACAGATTATTTTAAAAGTTAATTTTTTTGCTTTTTTTGAGTCAGGGTCTCATTCTGTCACCCAGACTGGAGTATGATGGCACAATTACAACTCACCACAGCCTTGACTTCCTGGGCTTGGGTGATCCTTCTGCCTTAGCCTCTTGAGTAGTTGGAACTACAGGTGCATGCCACCATGCAAGGATAGTTTTTTTTATTTTATGTAGAGACAAAGTCTCGCTATGCTACCCAGGTTGGTCTCAAATTCCTGGGCACAGGCTATTCTTCCACCTCAGCCTCCCAAAGTGCTGGGATTGCAAGTATGAACCATGGCACCTGGCCTATTTAAGTAATTAATTTCTCAGTGAATATAAATCACATACCAAAGTGCTTGGGATACAGAGAGCATTCTTATCCCTAACTTTTCTTCATAGTATTTTCCCATAATATGTTGCTTGTAATTGACTTTTTTAAATGTTTCTAAGTTTATCTAATGTGTATACCCTTTCAAAATTGATATTTTAAAATTTTTTCTAGAGTTACCATATGCTTATTTAATATTGTCTTCAATATTTCCAGCATTATCCAGTTTTATTTTACAAGAAACTTCTATAAGAGTTCACCTGTTGCCTGAATCAAATGACCTGCACATTTTTCCAGCAAACTCAGAAACAATCAAGATTTTGTAATATCTTGGGAAAACAGGTCAATCTGATGACTCTACTTTCATAAGGATTCCTGAAGAATAACCCAAGGCAGACCATCTGAAAAAATAAGTAAACCATCTTGAAAGCCAAAATATTAAGATGAAACATCTTGAACCGGAAATCATTCCACAACAAGTCAGTGCTGAGTGAGGCTTTTCAAACTTACTTTGCATTAGCAGGATTGCAAGTGGTCAAGTTGGCCAGGGCTAGAGCTGCCGCCTCCCTTACCTCTTCGTTGTCACTTTTTAACAACTGAATTAACTGGGGAATCCCTACAGAAGAAGAAAGGTAAAATGTAATTCCTTAAAACGCTCAAGTTCACTAAAATATGATAACCTAAAAATATCCAAAATAGTTGTTTCCAGTTAGCTTACCCTGATTATTGAAAAAATCTTTGCTGCCTGAATTCTCACTCATTGCGGAAATAGCTTGGGAAGCAGCAATTTTAGTACCATCATTTTCAGACCCCAAAAGGGCTACGAGGCACCTTTCAACCTCTTGTTCGTGAAAAAGTTTCCTATTTTCAGCTTTCATAAGCCAAAAGGAAAAAACAAATCAGAATTTTAATGCAAAACTATGTAAGTATAGCTTCCCACCCATCCAAAGTATAATAGGCATTCCAAGTATTCACCAGCTTTAGTACCAGAGTCTAAACTAAACAAAATATATACCTATTTATTTGACTACTTTTAGAACACAGATTATGCAAAATCTGTCATGGATGTTGATTTTTCTCATTTCTTTATATGACATCAATACTATGGCAGAAAAAAGTTCTATCATAAAAAAGAGGCAAGTCTTCAGGTTTAGCAAGCACTAATTTAACACCAGTCCTATGTCTGGCCTGCTGTTCAGTGTTATCACAGGCTATCTTGTCACTGAAAACAAAAACCGGTTTATTTAATAGTTATTTTATTTTTCTTTTGCATTCGGGGGCACAAGTGTATGTTTGTTATATAGACATATTGCATACTGGTAGGGGCTGGGATTCGAGTGCCTCCTTTCCCAGATAGTGAACACTGTTCCTAATAGGTAACTCCTATACCCTCATCTCCGTCCCTGCCTACCGCTTCTTACTGTCCCCGGTGTCTATTATTTCCCTCTTGTGGACAGTTAGCTCCCAAATATAAGTGAAAACATGAACGATTTGGGTTTCTGTTTCTGAGTTCGTTTGCTTAGGATGATGTTCTCCAGCTCTTCATTTGATGGTTATTTTACTTGTTGTCTATAATGAGGTTTATGTATTTTTATTTTATTTTATTTTTATTTGAATAGCTTTGGGGGGGTACAAATAGTTTCTGTTTACATGGTAGCATTGTATAGTGGTGAAGAAATCTGGGTTTTAAGAGTACCCACTACTCCCACCTTGTGCACATTGTACCCGATAGGTGATTTTTTTAAATGGTCATTTTAATCACAAATCAGTATATATTTGAAGAATACCTAAAATGTGCAAGTTGGTGAGCTGGATGCTTAAGACTTCAGGAGAAGAGCAGAGGAGAGGAAAAAATAAAAGTGAGTACTAAAGTATGATCCTGAGTCTCAAGGAATTTATAGTCTTATTTCAAAAAATCATGATCCTTTTTACCCTAAATAAGTAGCAAAAATTAAAACACCTATTTAGTTAATTAAATGAAATCATGACTCTAAGTATATACCAGGTATTCAACCCACTTAAAGCATTACATTTGAAACCAACGTATTTTTTTTTAATGTTTAAAAAATATATTTTGTTTTAAATTGTGGTGTGCAATTCAGAGTTAGGTATACAAATATTCATTGTGCAGGTACCCTTGTTGATGAGGTGTGCCCCTCCTCCTCAGACAGATCTCGACTACTGTCAATCCCACCTCCCCGTCCCCCTCTCCCCCATAGTTTCCCGCTACTGTCAACCCTCCTGTTATAGTATTACAATAGTTGTTCAAGGTCCACTTATGAGTGAGAACATGTGATACTCAGATCTTTGTTTCTGTGAAAGATCACTTAGTACTATAAACTCTAATTCTACCCAGGTTGCTGCGAATTTCATGATTTTGTTCTTCTTTATGGTTGCATAATATTCCATTGTGTAACTGTACTACATTTTAAAAATCCAGTCTATGTTTTTGATGACATAAAATTTTCTGTCATTTGCATTTTTTCACTTCCCAGTAGAACCAATTATTATTAAGTGCTTCCTTATGTTGAGCAGAAAGCAGTTTTCCTGTAACTTTCACTTGCTAGCTCTATTACCGCCCTTTGGGACCAAACAAAACCAGTAAAACCCCTTCTTTTTACATCTGCTTATCCAAAATTCGAAAGACAGTAGCCCTACTCATTTCCCTACTCCATGAAGAAGTTTTGTTTTCTAGGGTACATGTCCTTAGATTCCCTTATTTTTCATAAGCCTTGGGGTTTGGAATCCCAGAGGGTATGTTGGTCTCTTCTCTCTAGTTATACTACACATTGTTAATGTTTCTCTCCATGTTCAAATTTGGCTGGTACAATTGATAATGATGTGGGTCTGTTATACCCTTCTAGGATCTTACTTACATTATTAAAGTCAAAATTTCTAGGAACCCAAATGTGTGTATGGATGTGAGTGTATAATGCGTGCATGTTTGAAAATGACAGATTATAAGAACCCATAAAATTCAGATCAAGGACTTGAAGGAAAGAATCACTTTCCTGTGATTCCAAAGTCAAGCAGGTACAGTACTACATGGTGGTATTATGTTTGACATCAGACATGGCCTAACAGGGGAGAAGAATATGCTTCAATAGTTAGATGATTATGTTAATACAAACTGGGATTTATTATTATGTTTGTCTCTTTCTTTTTTTTATGGTGACAAATATTTTACCTTGAAGAATTTTTTTCAACTGTCTTTACAGAAAGATTATCATGATATCAAGAAAATTTAGCCCTGTTTATAATATTAAATCTACCCCCAGAAAATTAAGAGAATAGGAAGTTAAAATAATATGGTTCTATCTCTTCAAAAGTCAAATTTCGAAGGTCTTTTCAGATCTGATACTTTGATTGTTTTCTTTATTTTTTAAACATATTTTGTATTTTATAATTGTGGGGTACAGTTAAGGGTTAGGTATACAAATATGCATCGTTCAGGTACCCTTGTTGATAAGGGGTGTCTCCCCATCCCCAGACAGATATTGAC